TTTTTTTCTTTTGCTTTCTTCTATTCCATCAGTGCACCACATTTTCAGTCCTGACTGACTTCATGCAGCTATTTGTGTTTGGATATTGTGATCTAAATGGGACGCCAGTGGTGAGCTGGGAGAAGTGAAATCTGGTTACAGAAAACGTTTAGATGAATAATGTTGTTACAGCTATAGGCCACTGGAGGTCAGCAAGCAGTCACTGTTTGCAACACCGCAGGCTGGTTAACCTGATTTGAGGCCACACGTTCATCACTATATATTCAGTAAATACTTTAAGGCAAAACATCTGACAAGTGTTTGTCAGTCAAGACAAGATGAGCCGCCTTCCCTGATCTTCATGAATTAATACTTTAAGCCAAGCAAAGCTGCGTGTTCACACATTCTGTTTTAACTGACAGGACCTCAAACTTTTATTCTGTTCTCCTTCAGAAGCTGAAAAGTCACATACAGCATTACATTTCACTGAAACAAACAAGCTGTTAGTCAAACTTACTTGAACTGCAGTTTTTCCCACTCTGGTTGCCTGCGCACCCCGCAGCGATGCTATGCTTCAGCAGGGGGTCTGCTCCACATTTTGGGAACCAGTGTTAGAACTCGTTGGCCTTTTTCTGTTTACCGCTCAGTAATGTTTCACAGATTATTCACTCGTGCATGCAGAGGAACATTGTGAACAAATAAACAACAGTGATGTAGAAAAAAAAGAACACCAATATAAAAGTGCTTTCGCAGCACTTTTATATTGTTTTGGGAATCAAATCAAAATACCAGCTAGATAACCAAAAATGTTTTGTTGGCAAGGAGGTCAGGTCAGATAAGGTCACTGTGGACTGTAGTGTTCGCAGATGACATTGTGATCTGTAGTGAGAGCAGGGAGGAGGTATGGGAGGTCAGTAGAAGCAAGACAGAATACATGTATGTGAATGAGAAGGAGACAGGTGAAGGCAGATCACCTGGAGTCAACCATCTAAAGGAACAGACAGTGCACAAGAGGTGAAGAAGAAAAGTGGAGTCAGGGTGTAGTGTGTGGAGATGAGTGTCAGGGGTGATTTGTGGCAGAAGGATAGCAGCAAGCGTGAAAGAAAGCATTTACACGATGCTTGTGAGACCTGCCGTGATGTATGATTTGGAGACGGCAGAACTAAGAAAAACACAGGAGGCTGAGCTGGAGATGTTAAAGTTTTCACTGGGAGTGATGAGAATGGACAAAAATAGAAAGGAGTAGATTAGATCGACAGCTCAAGCTGAGCAATTTGGAGACGTGCATGTGCAGAGGAGGGACTGTGGATGCATTGGACAAAGGGTACACACATTTAAATCTTTATTAAAAACACATTTATTCTCTTTGGCATTTGACTTGAGTGCAACATACTTTTGAACTATTTTATTTTATTTTATTTTATTTTATTTTATTTTATTTTATTTTATGTGTTGTGCTAAATATTTCTGGATTTTACTGTAGTTTTTCTTGAGGCTATATACTTTTAATGTATAGCACTTTGGTCAACGCTGTTGTTTTAAATCTTCTATATAAATACATTTGACCTTTGACCTTTGACAGGACGCTAAATATTAAGCTGCCAGGTATGAAGACAGGAGGATGTAGTGAAAGAAGACATGCAGAGGGTTGCTATGACAGAGGAGGATGATTGGGGATAAAGTGAGATGGAGGCAGATGCTCTGCAGTGGCAACCTTTTAACTGAAACAAGAAGTTTCAAAAGAGAACATAAATGAATCTGTAAAGTGATTGTACATGTGATGTCCAAATATTATTAGTGTTATCTGATGCTATATCTGAAATATTATACATTCATTAAATCAGATCATATAAAGCTTTGGCAGAGAAAATATTCCTGATTTGATCTGACCTTAACTAACCCTTTCAAAGATATTGTTTATGTAATTCAACCTTTCTGCCAGAAGAGGGAGCTCACTAGCAGCTTGTAGTCCTGACACATCTCTGCACTCAGTTTCTCACTCTTGTCTTGGAATGGGGCTAATAACAGCCCCATATTACTTGTAATTTCTTAGTGTCTTTGTCTAGCAGAAGTTTGTCTTGTGGAGTGATATAAAAATGATTTGAATGTAAAGAAATCCATGTGTCATGAGAGGTAACCGCATGCTGGATAGACTGCGAGAAAAGCAAGGAAACTTGTGATTGACCTAGAATTAACCAATTATTAAACTAAATAATTAAACCAAATGTACATACCGGTGATAGTATAACCAAACACAAAAGCAAGTTACGTTCATTTTCAAGGATATGCATACATGTGTGCTCATGAATTAGTTGGAGAACTAATCAGTAAATCTATATATCTGCTGGGATTATTATTTATCATATATTAGACTGTGTGCACAAAGCCATAAACCGGATATTTTCCACTCTTCTTTTTTCGTTCATAATTACTTTTTTCCAGGCTTCTACATCTTCGCCTCCCGGTGGAAAGGCGTTCTCTCTAATCCCTACACTTCCCAGAATGCCGCTTGGGCCCCGCCTTTTTCCTCCGCACACTGCTCTCGTCGAGTTTCTGTTTTGCTGTGATTTCACTCCTGCTTCTCTCAGCTATGTGATTTGGACACTCCTCGCCCTGCACCAGCACCACTCTTCCTCTTCATCGCCACCACCAGCGACAGCACCCGGCTCGGTTTAGCCGCTGTCAGTCATCGGTGTTCGGGGGTGGAGGATGTCCGCTGGCTCCACCGGGCCACTGTTGGCTAGGAACGGTCTATAGCGCAGCCTCCTCTGGAAAAAACGGAGGTTTTTTGGTGTTGTTGTTTTAAAGTCGTGCTCGGGCTGTTTTTGTCGTTGACAGGCAAACGCTAAAGCCGGGCCCTCTCTTTTAAACACGGGGCTGCACTGCTGTGAAAGTGTGCCTCGTCAGGCTAAATGGATATGTGTGCCGTGCCAGGCTAAGGCGGGGACGGATCGGAGATGCCCTCTGGCTAGCAACGCTAACTTTCAGTGGACCGTAGCTAGGTCGCAGAAGCACTGATTTCTTAGCGTTTTGGCTGACACAACATAGCCTTACAGGCGTGCTTTGTTTTTAAGACACTCACAAGTTTGTAGTTAGTAACGAAAAAAACTGCGACTATCAAAATGAAGTAAAAATGATTAAATAGCGGTAACTCGAAGCGGTTTTCTTCCACTCAAAGCTTGACGTGAAACTAGCCTAGCCGTGCTTGTCAACTGGACAACAACAAATGCCTTCTTCTCATTCACGGGCACAACAGACTGTGGGGACCGTTCAGCACTGACACACTCCTACTTCATGTATGTTTAAGGACTACCTGTTAACTTGACTCCTTTTCTTTCTTTCTTTTTAATTAACAA